TTCCAAAGATACCTATTCAGTTGTGTTCATAGCAGCTTTATTTGTAATAGCCAGGAACTGGAAACAACCTAGAAGTCCCTCAACTGAAGAATGGAAAAAAGAAAATGTGGTATATTTACACAATAGAGTATTACTCAGCTATTAAAAACAATAATCTCCACACATAAGTAAGTAAGTAAGTAAGTAAGTAAGTAAATAAATAAATAAATGTAACAAAAGTTGGATTTGTTTATTTGTTTGTTTGTTTGGTTTGGTTTGGTTTGTTGTTTTAAATCTGAGCTGGTCAGATGGCTCAGCATGGAAAGGCACTTGTTTTCAAGCCTGATGACCTAAGTTGGATCCTCAGGACCCACATAGTATAAGGAAAGAACTAATTTATGCAGCTTGTCGTCTGACCCCCACACATGTGTAATGGCACAAGTACCAACTCCGTGCTGACACACACACACACACACACACACACACACACACACACACACACAAAACAAAATAAAACAAAAACAATGATATCATGAAGTTTGCAGACAAATGAGTGGAACCAGAAAAAAAATCATTCTGAGTGAGGTAACTTAGGCTCAGAAAAACAAACATGGTGTGTATTCACTTATAAGTGGACATTAACTGCCAAGTAAAGGGTAACCACACAAGCCACACCCAGAGAGGCTAAGGAACAAGCCGGCCTCAACGGGGATGAACGAATCTTCCTGAGAAGGGGAAATAGAATAGATATGTGGATGGACCAGAGGTAGGAGAAGTCAGGAAAAGGAGGATCTGGTGTGAAGAGGATGGAGGGAGAGAGTACTAGGAGAGACGACTGAAATTTAGGGGCAATTCAGGGTCAAGGGAGAAACCTAGTGTAATGGATCTTCCCAGGGGTCAGTGAAGCGACCCTAGCTAAGACTTCTAGAAATAGGGGATATGAAGCCTGAACTGGCCATCTCCTGTAATCAGACAATACTTCCAGTAGAGGCTTTGGCACACCAACGCAGTCACAAAACCGTCAACCTACACATGCTGTCCTGACAGCATGATGTGCTGGGCTAAAAGGTGGCACAGATATTGTGGAAGTGGTTAGCCAATGACTGGTCCATCTTGAGGCTCAGGAAATAAGACTGAACCCACCCCTGACATAGACTGGACAATCAGAAACCAGAGGCCATATGGCACAGAGAAGTAGGATACAACCAAGAATGACTGGCAAAAACAAAAACAAAACAAAAAACCTAACAAACAAAAAACCTAAGTTAATGAAATGATGCCTAATGATATTTTTCTATACTCACAGATTGGTGCCTACACAATTGTCATCAGATAGGCTCCATCCAACAAATAATGCAAAGATGTAGAGACCCACAGGCAAACATTAGGCAGAGTCTGGGGAATCCTGGTGAAGAGGGGGAAGGACTGTAGAAACCAGATGTCTCAAGGACAGCACAAGAATCAACAAACCTGAACTTAGAGGGCCTCAGTGAGATTGAACTGACAATCAGGGAGCCTGCACGGGTCTAACCTAGGCCCTCTGTACATATGTTATAGTTGTATAGCTTGATGTTTTTGTGGGGCTGTTTCTAACACTTTTGCCTGATTTGGGGTCCCTTGTCCTTCTACTGGGTTGCCTTGCCCAGCCTTAATATAAGGGGAGGTGCCCAATCTTATTGCAACTTGATACGCCACATTTGACTGATATCCCTGCTGTGCCTCCCCCTTCCTGAAAGAAAATAAATGAGGAGTGAATGGGAAGGGAGGATTCTGGGATGGGGTGAATAGAGGAGGTGGGAAGTTGAGGGAAGGAGGGAAAACTGCAGTCAGGATGTAATATATGAAAGAATAAATCTAACAAAGCTAATAACAAAAATTAACAAATAAATAAAATCAATAAAAGTAAAAAAAAGAATTTGTCAGAAAACCAAATTTAAAAATTCAAAATAAAACCTCACTAAATTGTAAGAGAGCTACTTATTACAATTATCATACTCAATAGTACTATTTCTTATGGGAAATAGATTCTTCTGCTCTTATTATGATTTGGATATCATATAAATCTCATCAGCTAAAAGCATGGTTCCTCATTGCTTACTGATGCTATTGGGGAGAATACAAAGTTCAGGAATTGCTGGCCATGTTGAAGTGAAGTCACAGAGTTTATGCCTTTGAATGGGCTATTGGAATCTTAGCCACGTCTTCATCTGTGTACTTCCTGGTAGTCATGAGGCAAGCAGCTTTGTATTACCATTCACTTCCTGACATAAAGATCTCCCTGGTAGGATAAAAGTCGTAAAACTTCTTGCATGTGAACTCAAGTCAGCAAAATAATAAATGAAATAAATCCTTGTTCTGAGTTATTTATTTCAGTACTATTGACACAAAGACAGAAAGATGAGTTAGAAGCAATACTTGGCCACTCATTTGTCATTGTATTGTTGTTATTTCCCCTGCAGAGATATCAGGTTCAAGTATTATACACATTTACCAAGGACTGCTAAATAAAGAGAAAGATATATGGAAGTAGATAGGTAAAAATCTGAGAAGAGTGAAAACAGTATCCCAGAAATAAAGAACTCTTAACTCAAATGATGCTGTGCTGTGCTCTATGTGTGTGTGTGTGTGTGGGGGGGGTGTTAAGAAGCCACTAAAGTCTATCAAAGCAACTCCCACCAAAAACAGAAGCGTAATTTCCCTCTTCCTGTGTGTGTTGGACTCAAAACACAAAGAACTGTCATGCCAAATGATTGTGTATGAGTAGAACTTAGATGGGTTCTAGTTCCCCACCCCAACACTGACTCTGAGCAGTAGTTCTGGAGCAAGTTAGCTGTCATCCAGCAATCTATGCAGAGGCTTATCTGGTAAGGAACTGAAACCTCCTGCCAAATTCTTATAAATGTGCCATGTTGGACATAAGGCCTACAGCCTGAAAAAGGCTCCTGATGACTGACAGCCAAGACAGTCTCTGACAACACCACAATGTCAGCAGCCAAATCACCTTCAATTCTGCCCACAGAAATGAGGAGACAACAAAGGTCGGTTATAAAGCAAGTATTTTGATGGACTATTTACTATGATGCAAATAAATAAGTAAAATTAAGTCTGACATAGCAATATTCTTACCCAATAATTTGCTAAAAATCTTTGGAAATGTTTCTTAATTAGAAAAACGTACATATGCACATATATAAATTTATGTAGCAGTAAATTAAGAATTTTAGTTTTCCACACTAAAATCTATAGTCCTAAAGAAGCTAAACATCAAGGAGGACCCTAGGGAAGAGGCTGAAACCTCACTCAGAAGGGCAAACAGGCTAGACATCAGAAGTAGGAGAAGACAAGGGACAGGACAGAAGCCTTCAACCTGAGGCCTCTTAAAAACTCTACTCATCAGGGTATCAAGGGAGGTACTGAGACTCAGAGCCAAACATTGGGCAGAGTGCCAGAATCCTCATGGAAGAAGAGGGAGATAAGAAAGACATGGAGGGGACAGGAACTCCACAAGGAGAACAATAGAGCCAAAACACCTTGGCCCAGAGGGGCCTGCAGAGACAGATACTCCAACCAAGGACCAACCATGCATGGTGAGTACCTAGACCCCCTGTTCAGAGGAAGCCCATTGGCTGCTCAGTTTCCAAGTGGTTTCTCTAGTAAGGGGAACAGGGGCTGTCTCTGACATGAACTCAGTGGCTGGCTCTTTGATCACTTCTCCCTGGGGGGAGGAGTGCAGCCTTGCCAGGCCACAGAGGAAGATGGTGCAGCCAGCCCTGATGAGACCTGATAGGCTAGGGTTGGAAGGGGACTTATCAGGGGACTAGAGAAAGGGAATATGGGGAGAAGAGGGAGGGTAAGTAGGACTAGGAGGAGACAAGGGAGGGAGCTACAGCTGGGATACAAAGTTAATAAATTATTAAAAAGCGTTTTAGTTTTCTATAATGCATTTAAAAATATTACTTGAAATTTTAAATTTTAATAGTATTTACAAATTTAATATTATATTAAATATTGCTCACTTTGAAAAGTAGAGGGTTTTTTTTTCCTCTAAGGGTTATACACAAACAAAAAGTCACCATTACTATTACTGTATTTGCACCTGTGCATGCTTAGAACAGTTTCAGGATGATGGGGATTGAAGATGGAAATACAGCTTACAGCTACATCTTGGAGCAGGGACCCAGCCAGTACTTGTACACCTTACAGTAGTTCCCCGGGTGGCAGGATAGAAGCCCTTTACACATTCATATGTGATTTCATCATCAGTTCTGTGTTTAATCCTGTGAGGTGCGTAGATACCGTTTGGGATGTAAGGTTCTTTGCATGTCTTTTCTGAAAAGAAGCATATGTAAATAAGACAAATACTTAATTTCATTAAAATTAAGAATACAAACACTAAATGGCAGGTACTGTTTACTTGCACTAATAACTCTAAAAATGACATTGAAATGAGCACATCTTCATATGCTTGATATATCATCAGGCTTCCTCTCCCGCCTCCTGTTTTATTTGTGCCCCTGTGGTATTGATTCTTCTTTCTTGAAACTGTCACAGTTAGTGGCAACAACTTCCTCATATAGAACTTCAACTATTCCTTCTACTTTCTAATTCTTTGATTGATATTGGTGGCCTTGATTCTCACAAACCTATTTATTAATATTCATAAGTTCTTAATTCTAAATAGTTGTAAAGATCTCACACCTTTTCTTTTTTGAAGTAAATGTGTCCTTTGTCTTACATCGGACAACTTACTAAATGTGGAAGTTTTATCTTTCACCTTACATAAAAACATAATGCAATCTTTGACTTTAAAATAATCATGAATCTGACTCACAGCAAGCCATTCTTCAAATGTGCACTTTCTGTCCTGTGTATCTCAAGTCAAAACTTCAAACCTCGGTGTTCTCATTGATGTCATTGCTAGACTTTAGAAAATTATTTTTAAGTAACATAGTCATTACATAACAGAATTCTTTGTCTTATGTTGACTTTGTATTAGCATTAATTTTTCTTTTTTTTTTGTCAGGTATTATTTACTTATAAACTACAATACGTAGTTTAATTTTTAATTTTTATATCATTTGGGGATCAAATGTTCTTTTTTTAATTTTTATTTATTTATTTTTATGTGCATTAGTGTGAAGGTGTCAGATCGCTTGCAATGGGCATTACAGACAGTTGTGAGCTGCCATGTGGGTGCTGGGAATTGAACCTGGGTCCTTTGGAAGAGCAGGCAGTGCTCTTAACCACTGAGCCATCTCTCTAGCCCTCAAATGTTCTTTTGTTTTGTTTTTATTTTTCAAGATAGGGTTTCTCCATGTAGCCTTGGTTATCCTGAAAAACACTATGTAAATCAGGTGGGTCTTGAATTCATAGAGATCTTCCCAACTCTGCCTCCTAAGTGCAGTGCTTAAAGGCATATGCCACCTCCACCCAGCTAAAATGTTCCATATTAACCTAGAAACACAATGTCGATTGACCCGATTGACTTGTGTTTTATTTAACTAACTTTTGTTACAAGCACTAAAATTTATAAAATTCTTTTTAATGGTTCTAAAATTTTAATTCCTACTTAAACTTTTATTTATTTATTTTTGTTTTAAGGCAGAGCCTTGCTATGCAGTTCAGGTTGACCTTGAATCTCTGCTTTTATTTTCTTGCCTCATTCTACTTAGAGCTAGGATTAAAAGCATGTGGCTCTATGTCTGGTTTTCTCTAGCTCATTTTGAATGTGTAATTTCCACAGATTAGGTTATTCTCCTGCAGAAATTTTATGAGCTGATAATTGTTGATCAATTTGTGTGTACATAAAAAAATCTTTTTAAAAAGTACCCATTTCTGGCTTCCACACATTTAACAACATCTGGAAAGTACAAACTGTTTCTCGTTATCACAAGGACATTTCATTATTTATGAAGTCACTTCTTGGACTGATATAAATATTTCTATCTTTTATATTCACTTTGTATTCCTTTAAATATTGGATTGTGATGTTGTCATTTATTTTAAAAATTCAGAAATTAAAAGGGGAAATCTTTATTTAGAATGTGAATAGGTTGTTTGCATTATCAAATTGTTCTTTAGAGCTACAGTAAATATAAAATCAGAAAATAAAAGGAGACTATTTTAAAAAAAAGTACCCATTTAAAAATAGTTTATTATTCAACTACATCTTTGTGTTATTTTAAATTATGTGCATATGTGTTGTGTGCATGTGGCTATGTGTATATGAATGTAGTGCTTGTGGAGGCCACGGGTGTAAGATCTTCCTAGAGCTGGACTTAGAGAAGCTTACGAATTGCCCCACATGGTTTTGTAACTGAACAAAAGAGGGTCTTCTCGAAGAGCACCGAGTATTCTTTTTTTTTTTTTTTTAATTTTATTTTTCTTTTTAGTTACATTTTGTTAACTCTGTGTCCCAGCTGTATCCCGCTCCCTCATTCCCTCCCCAACCCCACACTCCCTCCCTGGTCTCCTCCCTGCCCCTTTCCAAGTCCACTGATAGGGGAGGATCTCCTCCCCTTTCATTTGACCCTGTTTTATCAGGTATCTTCAGGGCTGGCTGCAAAGTCCTCCTCTGTGGCCTAACAGACTGCTCCTCCCCTGGGGGTGGGGGTAGCATGAATTTTTCATTTGTGTTTTTTTCCCATTCTTTGTGGCAGTCAAGATAACCTCCATGATTAAAAACTACCCATTATGCTAATAATTTTGTGCATTAGAATAAAATTAGAGTCAAATGTTCTGAGAAGTTGTTCTAAAGCCCCAGTCTGATTATGATTAGCTGGAAGGAAGTTTATTTTATAGTATCTTCTTTGAATTTTGGTTTCTTACGGATTCCAAGCTTCCTGTAAAGTTAGCTGCTACAAAGTGTTTTCAGCTAGATGGCATCAGAGAGATTAAGGTACTTTGGTTTGGAGATAATTGTTTATCAACACATGTAAGCTTTTTCTCTGCTCCAGGAAAACAAAAGCAGTGCTTAGAATATAGGTACACTATGATGCAGCACTTTCTTTAATAAGATACTACTTTTCATCCAAGAATATAAATTTCCTTCAGTAAAATAAAGCCCATTGTAAGAGATTTGCATGCCTGTATGAGCAAGCCTCTTTATATCATCAAACTCTTATTTACTCTTTTGTGAGAGTGCCCTCTGTCAGTTTTCTCCCCGACGAAACAGATCCTCAAAACCACGGTCTTAAATTATTAATATTTGACTTGTAATTATGTTTGAGAAATATTTAAAAGGAAAATTTAATGTAGAATCTCTCTATCCCTCTCTCTTCTTCTTTCCCTTCCTCCCTCCCTCTCTTCTTTCTCTCTAAGTGTTCAAAAGAAGCAAGCTTAGGATGTGCAGAAGCACATTGAAGAGCCATACATATTTTCTGTTTGAAGTAAATGCTAAGAAAGAATTGTTGATTAGGTGTCTGAATGACAGAGAAAAACACGGAAGAATTGGGCTTCAATAAGGTAGTCATGCTATGCCACACCAAATAAATAACATATAACAGAGTTGAATTCTGTGTCTTGCACTGAATTCACCTGAAGCTGGGGCAATTGTCTAAAGAGACCCTCTTAAGCACAAGACAAAGACTTGATAGAGAATGACTACTTTATGAGCTATAGTTTGATATTTTAGTGGATGGATGATCTATTTAGGAATGACACCTGAAGTTAACCACGTGGCAGAGGCTTAATGCCAGAGGACTACTGTTGACACGTTTTTTCTGAATAGGAACCACACATCATGAAAACAAGTGGTTGGACTCAATGCCTCAGCCAAACATGGATCTGTGTGACCATTCACTGGCCTTCTTCTTAAACAATAAATGACATGGGAAATAGCAACAACTTCACCTTCACAGGAAGGCTGAGGGTTCCATCCAGAAGCCGTGCAGACTGCATCTCCTCGTTCTTTGTATTCATAGCCTTGGTTACACGAATATTGATATCTTTCATTCTCCTTGTAAACTGGTTTATGAGATACAGCAACTCCATTTTTGACTTTTGGTGGTGTGCAGGAAATTTCTAAAGGCAAGAGAGTATTTGTATAATATTTACCATATAAGGAAATTTGCTGAGCAAGTCATATGTTTACAATAACAGTTTTGTTCCCATTATGTCAATGAGCCACCAAACAAAATTGTTTTGACCTGGCTGCATTCTTGATCAAATATTTGCTGTTTCAAAAATTAATTTTTTAAAATAAGTTAAAAGCATATTTTTTTGAAGCAGAAAACAAATATTTATTGTTGTTAAGTAAAATATAAAAATATTTAAATATTTAGTAGGAAGAAAGACAAAGGAAGCAAAGAGTACTTGTACTATTCTGCCATGTCACAGAGGTGGGTGCTTTCAGAGTTCTCAGGTTTTTTTATTTATATTTCACCTAAAAGCATATTTTTAATTGTATTTAACATGCTGGTAAATTTGCCTCCTGAAATAAGTGGCAGCCAGTAACAATTCCTAAATTCTTGTGAAAATGAAAATATGTACAGGATTGTGAGCTAATATTTTCAATGAATAATCTGCAAAGTAACACATCTTCTAATTATTACAGTAATTTTCAAAACAGTACTTTTCCAAGGTGATCTATTAAAGTCACTGTTCATTTGATCTTCGAAATGTCACAGCTTCTTCTTTGGTATCTTCACTTTACATATAAATTTATGTCAAAAAAGAAAAGAAAAGAAAGAAACTTACAAAAGTCCTGCATACCACTTTTTTTTTAACTTTTGAGATATTTTTCATTTGATGGTAATCTTAATGCTATTAAATTCACAAATATGTTATTTTTCATTACCCAATCCTAATAATCTGAAGCACACACTGAAAACATACAAATATCTATCCAACCTACAGATCAGTGGCCATTCATCATGGTTTTAGAAACAAGGAGAATAGATTCCCCTTAAATTGCAAGTCAGTAGGTGTTTCTTTACAGTTGACTTTAGCAAAATTCATACAAAATGGTAATTAACAATGATCTTTTTTACTTGTTAACTCACAAGGAAACACCTTCCAAATTGCATTTTATTAGCATTTCTGTACTAAAATGTAGAAAAACGAAATTACACAAAACTGAAAACTAACCAGGCCACAGAAGAAGATGATGCAGCCAGCCCCGATGAGACTTGATAGGCTAGGGCTAGATGGAAGGGAAGGCGGTTGTCCCCTAACAGGGAACTAGGGAAAGGGCCTAGGAAGAGAAGAGGGAGGATGGGTGGCACTGGGAGGAGATGAGGGAGGAGCCTGCAGCAGGACACAAAGTGAATAAATTCAAATAAATAAATAAAATAAAATAAAAATTTTAAATTCCTTAATTTTTTTGTTCCTGAACCACTACCACAATTTACAGGGCAATATACCTAATGTAATGAAAAGGAAAAGAAGAAGCTACATTACATAAAAGACCTCAGGAATGTACATCTGATTGATACTACATTGCAATAATCAATAGCTGTACTTTTTGCAAACTGTGGCTATGACAGTCCTGAATAAGAAGGATTTCCTGTTTCAGCTGCAGTAACTTTTCTGACTTTGGATCATCGTTTCTTCTGTGACAGAGTTTTGCAGTTCCTCTAATTCATTTGGGAAGTCTGTCTCAGAGAAACCAGCAGCTTCTCTGACAGGTCCTTGCTCTCTCTCTCTCTCTCTTGCCAAGAACTGTAGCCTTATCTGCTCTTTTTAAAAAAATCTTCTGCTACTACTTCCACAAGCAGATACATAGCCACCACCATAGGGACTGCCTGAGCTTCTTGGGTCAACACTGCCCAACTTCATGGGTCCATAATTCAATTGCTGTTGTCCACTATCATTTCCAAAGTCATTGTAGTTCCCATCACCATCATAGTTACCTCCACTAACATTTCTTCCTTCACTGTAGCTATCATATTCTCCTCTTCCACCATATCCACCAACCTGGTTTTCATATCCTGGTCTACTGCCACCATATCCTCTTCTGTTGTAACCAGGACCACTACCATAGCTACATCTGTAGCCACCTCCTCCACCACCACAGCCTCCTCTTCCACCACAGCCTCCTCTTCCACAACAGCCTCCTCTTCCACCACAGCCTCCACCACGACCAAAGTTACCTCCACCACCTCCAAAGTTCCCACCACGACCCATAAAGTCACCAGATCCACCTCCATGACCTCTCTGCGAGCCGGCAGACTACATCTCTCATTTAGAAAGGGCCTTTTCCACTTCACACTTCTGCCCACTAGTAGTGTGGCATTTCTGCACAACAATTTTATCAAATGTGTCATGGTCATCAAATGTTACAAAAGAAAATCCTCTCTTTTTTTCTACTCTGCCTGTTTTATATAACTTCTATGGTTTCAATCTTGCCATACTTTTCAAAGTAGTCTCTCAGATTATATTCTTCTGTATTTTCTTTAATACCACCAATAGAAATTTTCTTCACCATTAACTGAGCACCAGGCTTTACAGAATCCTCTCTAGAAACAGATCTCTGTGGTTCCACCACACACCCATCCACCGTGTGTGGCCACGCAAACATTGCAGCATTCACCTCTTCGGCACAAGAGAAGGCCACAAAACCGAAGCCCCTGGAACATTTTGTCTGGGGTTCTCTCATTATCACACAGACTATAAGTATGACCCATTTCTCAAAATGTTCTCTTAAGCTATCATTTGTGATTTCAAAGCTCAGACCACCAATAAACAGCTTGCTCAGCTAGCTGGTCTGGTTCCTTTGGATCATGGCCCTCCATTCTGCCACTAGACTCTCCTCTTCCAACTCAAGTTCAATACCCCTGCAACTTTTAACACAGTTCTCTCAAATACACTACTCTGGAAATATGGCACTATCAACTAGTTTGTCAAAGCGTTTTCTCCCATTTTTTTTTCATCCATTTTCCTTGTATATAACTAGAGAAAGTTTCAAATGGTCACTTGGAAATATTTCATCTTTTCTCCAGTCAATCTGAAGAAGAAATGAGTTATGTAAGACAAGTATTACAGGAACTCAGTTGGCCTATGTTCATTCCCTTACCACCTCTGTTTAACTGTTGAATAGCAATCTTCTCTAAGATAAAATGCTCCATCTTGGAGAGATGCTCCTAAATCAGTGTTTCTCAACCTTCTTAATGCTGCAATCCTTTATTACAGTTTCTCATGTGTGGTGACCCCCAATTATAACGATTTTTATTTCTACTTCCTAGCTATAATTTTGCTACTGTTATGAATTGTAATATAAATATCTGTGCTTTCTGATGGCTTTAGGGGACCTCTGTGAAGGGAGCAGTTGACCTTCCCACCCAAGGGATCATGAACCAAAGGTTGAGAACCACTGCTCTGAAGGGAAGTCAAACATCTTGTCCCTCAAGGAAGCTCAGGGAGGATACAATTCTAAAGCTTCACAAATCCTTCAAATGGAGCTTATTGCCTAAGGCCCTCCCTCCACATGTGTAGAAAAGCAGGAAGGACTGCTGTGAAACACTTTTGGATCAGCAGAGCTGCCTACAAGACCCTCAGACCACGTGAGCTGCCTGAAAGAGACCCTCTCCAGTCTGTTACTCCCGCAACTTGTGCACTGCACTCGGGTCCCCAGCTTTGGGAGCCCTCACCCGTGCTGGGGTGGGCTTCAGATGCTGCTGCTGTTTTTGAGTTATTTCCACTCTTGCAAGTCTAGCAAATGCATCAGTTCATCAAGGTGAACTTTGGTGGCATCTTTACTTAGACCTGCTCTCAGTCCCCTGTCTGAACTGAGTAGATGCTTGTTTAATCTCCCTGGTAATGGGGTTATGCAGCAGCATCCTCCAGTGGGACTTCTGTGAGCACCTGATGAGAGTCAGGACAGTGTAGCGCCCTGGACCCCTTGCTGTCTTTCCACTTTTCTCCACACGACCTTCCCAGGGCTCCTATGCTTGCCCTCCTTACTGTCATCTGAAGATACCTTATGTTCTCTTTAAAACTAATCTCAAGGATCAGATTTTCCACGGTTTCATTAGCCACAGACAATTAGCTATTATCATGTAACACCCATGAAACTTCAATGTGTGAAGTTTGTGCCACATGAATATATGTATTAGCATGTCATTATTTTCATGAAAAATCAGTGCTATCAGAAAGAGTTGTTAGCACCAAATGGTCATCGTGAGAGACAGAAATGATGCAATTATAGTCTCAAAAATGAAACAAACTTTTAAAAGAAAAAAAGTTATTTTTATCAAAAGGTAGACAATTTTAAAAGTGGCGAAAATATTGAAGATGCTAGATAATATTTAAAAATAGCACAAGTATGAGGCCACATACTGGTAATCTCAACATTCATGAGGGAGATTCAGGAAGATTTCTCTAAGATGGAAACTATATGGATTATGTATCAACTTCAGGCCAGCCAAGGATACATTGTGAGAGAGTGTCCCAAAAAAGAAGATGGAATGAGAAGAAGAGGAGGAAGAAGAAGAAAAGGAGGAAGAGGAAACAAAAATCAAAGAAATATTGATTAACAATTCATTATATTGCTTTGCCATAAGTCAAATGTTTATTTAGTGGATTCAGTTCAGATATGTAAAACTAATAGTAAACTTGTAATATGTTTGTGTATGTGTGTATGTGTGTGTATTGTGTGACAGATAAATCACTTCCTAACAATATTAATTAAAATTAGTATGTTTTAAAAGTTAAAACTTGCAACAGAAATATATATGATGTATACACACATATATATAACACTTCTTAAAATATTAATTAAATGTCATCATGATGCATGATTGTAACTATCCAATAAGCATTTAGCTTCCAAAAACTTTGTAAAAAATTTGCTTTGGACATATAGATCCCCACACATTAATAGTGGGAGACTTCAACACCCCACTCTCAACAAAGGACAGGTCAACAAAACAGAAATTTAACAAAGAAACAATATCTCTGACAGAGGTCATGAATCAAATGGACCTCACAGACATTTACAGAACTTTACACCCAAACACAAAAGAATTTACCTTCTTCTCAGCACCTCATGGAACCTTCTCCAAAATAGACCATATAGTTGGTCACAAAGCAAGCCTCAACAGATTCAAGAAGACTGAAATAATCCCTTGTATCCTGTCTGATCACCATGGAATAAAGCTGGACTTCAACAACAACAGAAATAGCAAAAAGCCTACACACACATGGAAACTGAACAACTTGTTACTAAATGACAGCTGGGAGGGAAGAAATAAAGAAAGAAATTAAAGCCTTTCTAGAACTCAATGAAAATGAAGACACAACATACCCAAACTTGTGGGACACAATGAAAGCAGTGCTAAGAGGAAAGTTCATAGCACTAAGTGCCTTCAAGAAGAAATTCGAGACAGCTCATCCAAGCAACTTAATGGCCCACTTAAAAACCCTAGAAAAAGAAGAATCAGACACACCAAAAAGGAGTAGATGGCTGGAAATAATCAAACTCAGGGCTGAAATCAATCAATTAGAAACAAATAAAACAATTCAAAGAATCAATGAAACCAAGAGCTGGTTCTTTGAGAAAATCAACAAGATCGACAAACCCTTAGCCAAGCTAACTAAAAGGCAGAGAGACACCAACCAAATCAACAAAATCAGAAATGAAAAGGGGGACATAACTACAGACACTGAGGAAATCCAAACAATCATTAGGACTTACTTCAAAAGTCTATACTCAACAAAATTTGAAAACCTAAATAAAATGGACAATTTTCTTGATCGATTTGACTTACCAAAGCTGAATCAGGACCAGGTAAATCAATTAAATAGTCCTATATCCCCCAAAGAAATCAAAGCAGTCATCAAAAATCTCCCATCCAAAAAAAGCCCAGGACCAGATGGCTTCAGCGCAGAATTCTACCAGACCTTCAAAGAAGAGCTAACACCAATTCTCTTCAAACTATTCCACAAAATAGAAACAGAAGGAACATTACCAAACTCATTCTATGAAGCCACAATCACCTTGGTACCTAAACCTCACAAAGACTCAACAAAGAAAGAGAATTTCAGGCCAATCTCCCTTATGAACATTGATGCAAAAATACTTAACAAAATACTTGCAAACCGAATGCAAGAACACATCAAAGATATTATCCACTATGACCAAGTAGGCTTCATCCCAGGTATGCAGGGGTGGTTCAATATACGGAAATCCATCAATGTGATCCACCATATTAACAAACTGAAAGAAAAAAACCACATGATAATCTCCCTAGATGCTGAAAAAGCATTTGACAAAATCCAACATCCATTCATGTTTAAAGTACTGGAGAGATCAGGGATACAAGGCACATATCTAAACATAGTAAAGGCAATTTACAGCAAGCCTGTAGCCAACATCAAACTGAACGGAGAGAAACTTAAAGCAATCCCACTGAAATCAGGGACAAGACAAGGCTGCCCACTCTCTCCATATCTCTTCAACATAGTGCTGGAAGTCCTTGCTAGAGCAATAAGACAGTTGAAGGAGATCAAGGGGATACAGACGGGAAAGGAAGAAGTCAAATTATCACTATTTGCAGATGATATGATAGTATATGTGAGTGACCCCAAAAACTCTACCAGGGAACTCCTACAGCTGATAAACACCTTCAGCAAAGTGGCCGGATACAAAATTAACTCAAAAAAATCAGTAGCACTCCTGTATACAAAAGACAAAAGGGCTGAGAAAGAAATTAGAGAAACAACACCCTTCACAATAGTCACAAATGACATAAAGTACCTTGGTGTAACCATAATCAAGCAAGCCAAAAAGTTGTATGAAAAAAGTTTCAAGTCTCTGAAGAAAGAATTAGAGGAAGATATGAGAAGATGGAAAGATCTCCCATGCTCATGGCTTGGCAGGATTAACTTAGTAAAAATGGCCATCTTACCAAAAGCAATCTGCAGATTTAATGCAATTCCCATCAAATTGCCAACACAATTCTTTACAGACCTGGAAAGAAAAATTCTCAACTTCGTATGGAATAACAAGAAACCGAGAATTGCTAAAACAATCCTCTACAATAAAAGATCTTCTGGAGGTATCTCCATCCCTGATCTCAAGCTGTACTATAGAGCAACAGTTATAAAAACTGCATGGTACTGGCATAGAAACAGAATGGTGGATCAATGGAATCGAACAGAAGACCCAGAAATAAACCCACACACTTACGGACACCTGATTTTTGACAAAGATGCCAAAACCATACAATGGAAAAAAGATAGCATCTTCAACAAATGGTGCTGGTCCAACTGGATGTCTACATGTAGAAAAATGAAAATAGATCCATACTTATCACCCTGCACAAAACTGAAGTCCAAGTGGATCAAAGACCTCAACATAAAACCAGACACATTAAATCGGCTAGAAAAAAAAGTGGGGACTACCCTAGAACTCATTGGTACAGGAGAAAACTTCCTGAACAGAACACCAACAGCACAGGCTCTAAGAGCAACAATCAATAAATGGGACCTCATGAAATTGAAAAGCTTCTGTAAAGCAAAGGACACCATCATCAAAACAAAGCGACTGCCTACAGATTGGGAAAGAATCATCACCAACCCTTTATCTGACAGAGGACTCATATCCAATATATATAAAGAACTAAACAAGCTGAAAAGCAATAAACCAAGTAATCCACTTAAAAAATGGGGAACAGAGCTAAAGAGAGAATTCTCTGTAGAGGAATATCGAATGGCAGAGAAGCACTTAAAGAAATGTTCAACCTCATTAGCCATTAGGGAAATGCAAATCAAAACAACCCTGAGATTTCACCTTACACCCATCAGAATGGCCAAGATGAAAAACTCAAGGGACAACACATGCTGGAGAGGTTGTGGAGAAAGGGGAACCCTTCTCCACTGCTGGTGGGAATGTAAACTGGTACAACCACTCTGGAAATCAATCTGGCGCTTTCTCAGACAACTAGGAATAGCGCTTCCTCAAGATCCAGCCATACCACTCTTAGGCATATACCCAAAAGAGGCACAAGTACACAAAAAGGACATTTGCTCAACCATGTTTGTAGCAGCTTTATTTGTAATAGCCAGAAGCTGGAAACAACCCAGATGCCCCTCAACTGAAGAATGGATGCAGAAACTGTGGTACATCTATACAATGGAGTATTACTCAGCAATGAAAAATAAGGAAATCATGAAATTTGCAGGTAAATGGTGGGACCTGGAAAGGATCATCCCGAGTGAGTTGTCCCAGAAGCAAAAAGACACGCATGGTATATACTCACTCATATAAACATACAACATAGGAGAAACCCACTAAAATCTGTACATCTAAACAAACTAAGCAAAAGAGAGGACCCTAACTAAAATGTTCAATCCCCATCCTGAAAGGCAAAGAGGATGACATCAGAAGAAATAGAAAATAGGAAACAACCTTGGAACCTGCTACAGAGGGCCTCTGAAAGCCAGAAGAAAACAGGAAACAACCTTGAAACCTGCCACAGAGGGCCTCTGAAAGCTTCTGCAGTATAGACTGTCAAAGCAGATGCTGAGCCTGATGGCCAACTGATGGGCAGAGTGAATGGAATTCTATGTAAGAAGTGGGAAATAGTAAGAGCTGGAAGGGATGGGAACTCCACAAGGAGAGCAACAGAACAAGATAATTTGAACACAGGGAACTTCCCAGAGACTCATACTCCAACCAAGGACTCTTCATGGAGATGACCTGGAACCCCTGCACAGGTGTAGCCCATGGCAGTTCAGTGTCCAAGTGGGTTCCATAGTAATGGGAAGAGGGACTGCCTCTGACAGAATCTGATTGGCCTGCTCGTTGATCACTTCCCCCTGAGGGGGGAGCAGCCTTATCAGGCCACAGTAGAGGACAATGCAGCCACTTTTGATGAGAACTGATAGACTAAGATCAGAAAGAAGAGGAGAACCTCCCCTATCAGTGGACTTGGGGAGTGGCATGCATGCAGAAAGGGGAGGGAGGGTGGGATCGGGAGGGGAGGAGGGAGGGGCTTATGGGGGGATACAAAATGGATAAAGTGTAATTAATAAAAAAATTAAAAAAAAATTTGCTTTGGAAATCAGATTTGCCGCACACATCAGAAATGCTGAGTGTGGACTCTGAACAGCAGCAGCATGTGGTAACCTGTGTTAACCAAGTCACTAAACCTCAATAATCATGGACACCCTGGCAATGTCAATTAAAAACGCTGTACGAGCGCATGGTGAAATAGAGTTGTCCTGAAGTAAAATAAGAGGGTTCATGCATAAAAACCTTCAGTCAAGTACAACAAAACAGTCATACTAAATAAGCATTAGAGTGATGCAGTTCTATTTGAATTAAAATATGCTTTAAAAGGCAAATGTATATTTTTCATAAGAATAGCTAAAACCATTCAAAAAGCAAGCAGACAGGTGTGTGAGCCTTACCCACACATCTTGGCTTTTCATTGCTCCAAAGGCCGTCTTCTGAGCAGTGCATTTCTTTCTGTCCTTCAATCTTGAAGCCTGCATTACATTCAAATCGCACCACCTGTCCAAAATAATATTCCTGGTCTGGTTCTCCTGTACCACTTAAAATTCTTCCATTCTCCAGTTCTGTCACTGGTAAACACTTAACAACTGAAAATACAGGCAACACTTTTACTAACAGAATTCGAGAATAACAAAAGCACTTTAATAACAGACCTATGTAAAAACATGTAAATGATTAAAAACACCAACATGATAAACCTGGAAAAAAGTACTGAAATGTTGAAACCTTTAGTATGACTGTTGGCAAAACGTAAAAGTTAAGTAACACAAGTGGTTTGGTTATCAGCTTCTGTGGGAATGGGAAGAGAAAATTATCACTTTGAATGATAGTTTGCATTTTCATGATAGCAAGTGTCTCCTCAATTATTAAGAAATATGAGTTCTGGAATAATCAAATACAAATGTTTTACTGATGCCTCAAAGCAATGTGACACTGAATTCTAAAAAGATATAAAAGTGAATTTTCAGATATGTCTTCTGATAGAGAAATTGTCCTTAATTTTTCGTTCCTTTCTACCACAGTATACAAAATATTTAAACATTTTTTTAAAATTTTACTTAAAATTTCTCTGCCATAAAGGTGTTAAAAGTTTATTTTTCCTGAAGAAAACTTTGTGTGTAATGGACTGTTTCCTAGGGCTGTTTCTTTGTCTTATTGCCCAAAGATACTGACTCAACAGGCCATTTTGGGGAAAATTGTACAAAACAGTTATGTTTCATTTTATACTAGAAACCATAAAACATTATATGCAATAAATAAATACAAGCTTTTAGAAAGTTTCCACACAATGTGAAAAAATCTCATCTATTTTAGGTGCGTAGACACACATGTCAATCAGTTTATCACTCACCTTCACATATCGGGATATCATTTGTCCACCCATTCGCATCACATTCACGGAAATTAATCTCACCTAACAGTTGGTACCTAAAACACAAACAAAAGAGTGTTGTGTTGAGACATTATGTGTTTTATGTGGTTTTTAGACTCTGTAATGTCTTGGGTATCCTGCGGTAAAAGATTTTTAAAAATCTCTCTCTCTTGCCCCTAAATCTTTGTGAAAAGAAAACACTTCATCAGAATATATTAGCCATGGTTGTTTGAATTTAAGGGTTTGCTCTATGCTTACTGTTGAGTAGACAGAATAATTGACTATAACTGTGATACTCTAGCTCCTTTATGAGGCAGTATGTCCTCTTCCAATGTAAAAAACAAAGTTCCTGATAAAGACTTTCCATCCACTGCAGAGACCATCCCTTATGCTAAGTTCCTTCAGACAGTCATCAGAATTCTACACAAAACCTTTCTGGACCTATATTCATGGAGAAGGGAGGGGGAAAGAGAAGAAAATTGTTGTCCATACAGAAAAAAAATTGTTTGCAATGTTGTCTCAAAATCACTCACATGTAGGACAATAAGATGATTGTTCATAAGAAATCATTATGCTAATGCTTAGACTCATAGCCAAACTTTGGACAGAGTGCAGGGAATCTTATGGAAGAAGGGAGAGATCGAAAGGCCTGGATAGGACAGGAGCTCCACAAGGAGAGCAACAGAGCCAAAAAATCTGGGTGCAGGGGGCTTTCAGAGACTGATGAATCAACCAAGGACCATGCATGGAGGGGACCTAGACCCCCTGCTCAGATGTAGCTCATGGGCAGCTCAGTCTCCATGTGGGTTCCCTGGTAAGGGGAGGAGGGGTAGTCACTGGCATTAACTTGGTTGCCTGCCCTTTGATCACCCCCTCCTGGCAAGGTGGCTTTACTAAGCCACAGAGAAAGGATCCAGACAGTCCTGATAAGACCTGATAGGCTAGGGTCAGATAGTAGGGGAAGAGGACCCAACCCCTATCAGTGAACTAGGGGAGGGACATACAGGTGGGAAAGAGGGAGGGAGGATGGGACCAGGAGGAGATGAGGTAGAGGGCTACAGACGGGATACAAAGTTAATAAGTTGTAATTAATAATAATAACAAATATAAAATCATTCTGCTAAATAATATGTAACTAAACATATATGCAGCAGGGAAACTACAGACAAAGTCATAGGACTAAAAAGGTGGTAAAAAAAAATAGGGATGCAATAACCTTAGCCTATCCTTAGCTTTAACTTCTGGGTTACAAAACAAACAACTATTCCTGAAGATAGAGAAAATATTCTTCAATAAAATTTTTTGATTAATATGAACTATTTTTACTTGCTGATCTTAATGTGGTGTGACGACTTTAACTAATAAGTGTCAGTAATTTCACCAACAGATTTTTGTTGGTGATTCAAGCTCAACATAGTTGGGTTCTATCAATGTTTACTCTTCATATATACAGGATGAAAGCGGCACAATGAGTGTCAGAGAGCCAGAGTCAGAGGTAAATATGTAGTTCATTTCTTCACCTAATTGGAAATACTATGTTCTGAGACAGGAATTCAAATAAAGAAAGTATATGAGTTTGGTTCCCTCTTCAGTACAATAGTGAAACCCAAATCAGGAAAGTTGGCCTGAGATGAAATAATTCAAAGGTAAGCAGTGTAATAGCCTGAAAAATTCATGGCAAGGCAATCCTTGTTGGCTCTGTATGATAAGATAATCAGTGATCATTGAAAACTGGACTAAAACTGAGTTTGAAAAATCTCTTCAGATTTTTTGGTTAAGGTTAGGGTTAGTGTAGGGTTAGGGTTAGCGTTCTTCAGGTTGTGAGCAAGGAGGATCTAAATAAGAAATCAGTATCTCGTGGGTACTTGTAGTATCTCAGGATCATTTTAAAGGGCTGCAAGTGTGGGTCATATTTATTTCTCCTGACAATCCCATGATGCTCATGAGAATTTTCTGCTTTTGTCAGAGACAGAATGGGAGTGAGATAACAATTTGTGAACATTGAGTATTTGAGTTTAGGGATATTTTGCAGCTAATTTTAAAGCCTGAGGAGTGTAAACTATTATACTTTGTTGCCTCAACTAAAGGTCAACTAAAAAGATTCCATCCACAGTGTTACTGTTTAATTTTATTTATACTTACTTAAAATAATATTACAGTTATTAACTTTCTCATATCAGTTCTTAAAAATAATCTGTGGTAGTGGAAAGAAATGATATCAAATGAAGATCTGATCAATCAGTCATATTAGCCATGAGAACCTGTGGCTGGTCAGAGAGCAGAGTCAATGATTCTAGAAAATTAGCATTTATGGCCCATGTAATTAAGAGTAATTTTCATACTACTAAACTTTAACAGTAGCACTCAGGAGCAGGACTTTTTATTTACAAGCAAAAAAGCCTTGCTTTCTTTAAATGCTATAAAATCTTGAAGAGAGTTATCATATAATGTAGGTGTTTTCCCAATTCCTATTGTTCCTAATATACAAAATTATTCCATCTCACACAATATTGTGCAATAATGAAAAGTAGTAAGGACTTATTAGCTGACCGCTTATCTTTTGTGTATATCAACTTAACACTCCCTTATTTTAACACCGTACCAGAACAAACATAACTCACTTACTTTCCAATGTTATGGAGATATCATGGCATTAAAATAAAAGCATTTACAAGATAGTTTTATTTGTATGTTAATTTTAAATGTTAATAAAAAAAACTTAACCCTTTTTGAGGTAAATGTTTTTATTTCCTCATATGATGTGATGAGATGAGAGTCGTACCCAAGCTTTACAAATACATGGCTTTGACTGAGCCCAGAGCATTTCTAACTATCCCAAGGCCTAGGTCAGGAAGCTTCTAACCTCTGTACAATCTAATCTTCTGCAAGCCCAGACACTGTAGGCTTCAGCTTTCAGCCTCCTAACCTAGGCCTAGAATGTTTTCAGCCTCAAGACTTACTGCTGAGTAAGCTCACTCTTTCTAGTTCTTTCTGAACTCTGGCTGGCTGGTCAACTTAGCTCTTCTGTTCAAAACTCCTAACCAACGTGACTGATCAAAACTGGCTTTTCTCTGCTTCTGACTGAAATACTCTCCTTGGAAAAACTGCCTCTGAACTTCATGAACTGAGCTGCATGAACTCAACTTAACTGCACCAAACTGCACCAAATTGTTCTGTACTCCCAAACTCCACTTTACTGTCTCCCAAACTCTCCTGCTCTCTCTCTCTCTCTCTGCCCTGATCTTAAGCTGCTTCTCTTTCCTGTCTGTTTTTGAGCGTTGGGTGCATCCGACCTCTGACTCATTCTGACAAATCTTTCTCTGATTATTTTGTCTGCCCTCAATTTGACATCATTGTTTGGGATTAAAGGTGTGTAATAAATTCCATCCAGAAGGATTAAAATTGTGTCATGTCTATATTACAGACAGAGGGATTAATGGAGTATTCTAAGGGCATGTCTCTATTAGCTGTATCACAAAGACCTAGGTCTTTGGGTGTGATCTCTTTCCAGAGTAGGCATGTTGCTGGATTAAAATTCCTCTGCATCTTAAAGTACAAACTTGTAGAGTCCCTTCACACAGTTTCATTGATAAGCCTTTTAATATAGACAACATACCCCTCATCACAGGTGTAAACAACCTTTGCACCAAACTCAAACCCAGATCCAGCTGTCAGCCTAAATGACCCATAGGGTGTGTCTCCAGGATGCCCACATGGCTTTTCTAAAACGAAAAGAAGAAGATACAATATTAGTAAACAGTTCATGGAACATGCTTCATATAGGAGTCAGAAAAGCACATTTGGGTATCACTGAATAGGAGGAAAAATGAAGACAGTAAAGAATATTTTATAGCTAAAGGTAACTGTATGCTTCCATTTTTAACTTTGTAGATAACTATAGTTCAAAGTGATTTTTCTAAATTTTAGTTATAGTAGTGATATAATTTGTATTGCTATAATGTAAAACATTTAGTATATTCAAAACTAAAAGTTTTCTTACGTTACTCAGACATGAAATACTTACTCCGACATATCCTGGATGGGTTATTAGCCACCCATTCTCCTCTCCTGCATACTTTTACAATAGTCCCAAGTGTTCTGTATCCAGGACGGCATTTGTAAGAAGCCGGGGTGCCTTCTGGATATGATTGGTCAGGCCAAAAACCTGACAGAATTTCTGTATTTGTTCTTGGAGGAGGTCCTTTACAATCTACAAGTAATACAAGCAAACCAATATTTGAAATGCCTATTTCAAAAGATAGTATGCTTATGTTATTTTGCTTTTAATATTATGTCTACAATTACAGGTCCATTTAGCTGTTTGTGTGCACAATCTTATGAAGATTTAATAAGCAACCTTCTAAATTGTCAAAAGAAAAAGAAAGCAATAAAACAAAGTAGCTGTTCTGAAGATATTTTTTTTTTATGTAGCAAATCTAAACAGCAAGTATTTTAAAAAACTCATACTATGCACTGCATATAGTAAAATTCTACTTATGAAATTAAATTATAGTAAGATAACATAAAACTATTTGGAGACATTCAATATTCAAATAGTATAAAAAGACAGGACAGAATTATTTTTCTACTATATACATGGAGTGAGAGAAAAGTTGGTGTGGAAGTATTTGTAGGAATGCTTAAAGTCATGTTGCGGGAGCAGTGAGAATTAATGGACTGAATCTAGATGGGATGGGCCTGTACCATTCATGCCTGAGGTCTGTGGAATTTCTTGTCTGGTTATATGTGTCACTTCTGTATATGAAGTGATGATTGGGGATTATAAAATTGGAGAATGGAAGTAAGGGAGAAATAATCAGACACACAACACACCTGTTGGAGGGCGTGTCTAGCCTGAAAAATTCTGAATCATGTGCAGAATCTGAATCTAGTTGTCCTGTTGGAATTTCAACCAATTCCTAAGTGAAGACCAAATTTTCCTATAGCCTCACAGAAGTCCCAACCAAAACCAAAACCAAATCCAAAACCAAAACCAAAACAATAACATATCTCCCTAAAATATACAACTGGTGGCTTCATCAACTTGTTAGAATATTTGAATGTCTTTCAATGTTTAATTTAAATCAGGTTTCAAAGTAGCAGTAAAGAAGAGAATTTACTGTAGTCTATTGGGATATAGAAAGGAAGGTTCAAGCAAGTTTGGGTTTAAACCCATATACACATGCTCACACACAAGAAGTTCTGTGCTTCCAAGTGTTTGAGATTAGAAATGAGCTAACTCAACCTAAAGGTGCAACTCGGATACAGTGGAGTTAAATTCATGATTGGGATAAGAAAGAAAAATGTTATTCTCAGTGGGAATGAATAACATAGACTTTAGTCACTATGTTAATTTCCTACAAGGTATATCAACAATTGATAAATGGGACCTCATGAAACTGAAAAGCTTCTGTAAAGCAAAGGATATAGTCATCAAAACAAAATGACAGCCTACAGACTGGGAAAGGATCTTCACCAACCCTATATCTGACAGAGGGCTGATATCCAGAATATATAAAGAGCTAAAGAAGTTAAAAAGCAGCAAATCAATCCGATTAAAAAATGGGATACAGAGCTAAACAGAGAATTTTCAGTAGAGGAATACAGAATAACAGAGAAACACTTAAAAAAATGTTCAACGTCTTTAGCCATCAAAGAAATGTACAAATTTGTATATCTAATGTTAAAATTAAATTAAGCAAGCATAATTTTGAATCACCATTATTTCCTCGTGTTAACAGATTCTCTTTATATCAGTGCTTGCACATAGGGATGTAGAAGTATGTAATATTAACATGCATGTGTATACTGAGCAATGGTCAAATCCAAATAAGCATATCTGTCTACTGTGTTATTTAACTTTCTTTTCTAGTGAGATCATTAAAATACTTTGTTCAAGCTCTTATGAAATATAAATTATAGCATATTGCCTGGTAATTATCCATTTATCTTACCTTCATGGGTCAAAAATGTCATGAAGGAAATAAAAACATTTTATATTATTATTATTCTTATTTACAATCTATTCACTTTGTATCCCAGTTGTAGCCCCCTTTCTCATTTCCTTCGGGTCCCACCATCCTTCTCTCTGCCTCCCCTATCTCTCTCCCCTAGTCCACTGATAAGAGAAGTTTTCTTCCCCTGTTGTCTGACCCTAGCCTATCAGGTCCCATCAAGACTGCCTGGGTCCTCTTTCTCTGTGGGCTAACTAGGTCACTCCACCAGGGAGAAGTGATCAAGGAACAGACAACTAAGTTCATGTCAGAGACTATCTCTTCTCCCCTTACTAGGAGACCCACATGGAGACTGAGCTGTCTATGGGCTACATCTGAGTAGGGGGTCTAGGCCCCCTCTATGTATGGTCTTTAGTTGAAGCATCAGTCTCTGCAGTCCCCCTGGTCCCAAAAGCTATTTTGGCTTTGTTGGTCTACTTGTGGGGCTCCTGTCCCCATAGGTCCTTCTGTATCCCCCTTCTTCCATAAGACTCCCTGCATTCTGTCCACAGTTTGACTGTAAGTCTCTGCATTTGCTTCGATTCCCTGCTGGGTTGAGTCTTTCAGAGAAAAACATATTTTTTAAAATTAACAAAAATAAAAACCGTACATCTATGAACTTTCTGTAATTATTTTTAATTGCAGAAGAGGAGCTAAAAACAAACAAACAACAACAGCAACAAACTTGACAGCTTTCCCAGTGTTGTACTAGAAGAAACTGATAAATAACCCAAATGCTAAATGTTAATTAAAAAATACTTGATATGTAGAGTATCAGTGAATCTAAAATTTAGGATTTTGATTAGCCCAATAAGTTTGTTTTAATATTGGAAAGAGGGAAAAGAGAGAGAAAAAGAGAGAGATTAACCCCATCAAGAATAAAAATGGAATACCTCTATAAATTTTGCAAATATCAGTGGACTAGGGGAGGGGCATAGGCGAGAACATAGGGAGGGAAGGTAGGGCTAGGAGAAGATGAGGGAGGGGGCTATAGCCGGGACACAAAGTGAATAAATTATAACAAACAAAAGAAAAAACAAATAAAGAAATGGATAAGTAAAAACTTGAAAGACACTAGAATTTGTATGTTTTAACCACTACTTATGGTTTGAGGTTGGGAAGTAAATTAGAGGTGTTATACTTTGATCTTGAATTTAATAGGAGAAACATTTTGCTTACACTTTTAACAGAAAATTTCAAATATCTGGGGGAGTTTGGTTTTTCGGTGAAAACCAGCAGAGCAAGCATACAGATTGCACAGGTAACATTTTACTACATTGTCTGCTCATATCCTGCCGTGTATCCACACTATTGCCTATTTATTTATTTTTGAGACAAAGTCTGACCAGACCCGGCTCCCTCTGAGTTCTCTAACCTCAGAGCCCAGGAGTTGGAATTGTGGCTATGGAATATTAGTTCTGTGGAATAGGATTACTTTTAATGCTTGCTTGCTGCTTAATTTTGTAATAAACATCCAGATATTTAACGATTACATTAAGTAAAACACAACATGCTGGTTCTTAAGTGGCAGACTCTGGTGCTTATTATCTGTTATATTTGTAAAAATATTGTTTTAATTGCTAAGTTCCTTTTGCTTCTTGATCCTGTGACAATTTGCTACTCTATTCTAAACTTTATCTTTTAATGGCAATGCCTACTGAGGCATCTCCCACCTGGAGCTTGTATCTATGTGTTGTTATACCATTTATGAAATATAAGGACCACTGTATTTCTCTAAAAGAACAAAACAATGTTTTAGGCTGTCAAGTATACAGATTTTCTTTGAGTATTTCGCTAATTTTTCAAACATTTGTTCTAGTGAACTTGTGTAACTGATTACATAACAGTGTGGTTTGATACTCATTCTTTCAGCAACTAAACTTTTGTACACTAGGTGGTGCTAATACCCCACCACTGCCACAGCAAAAACCTAGTTTGCCAGAAAAAAAAAGTTCACTCTGAAAATAAGCACTCTGCTTTCAGACGTTCTCCCTTCAAATGCACAACTTTTTTTTTTTTTTTTTGTCTTTTTCTAGAATTTTAACACAATACGTATTAGTGGTTAGTGTTATAGCTACAATGGTTAAAATAATGGCTCTTTGTAGTTCTTCAATAACAGTTAAGCATGTCTTAAGATAGTGACAAACGACAGATTTCTCAAGCTCTACTGAAAATGTCTTCTGAAAGCATTGTAACTAGACAGGAGCAAGTTCTTTTCATTCACGTAGTCAATCTGTCAACCTAAATGTACACCACACACATTTGCCTGAAATAAGGAGGGAAATTTTAATAAAGGCGTGGCAGGTGCTTGCTTATTAAATAGGGGTCATTCCTGGAAATACTTTCAAAGGGATAAAAACGTTTTTAACCCTTAAAATGGAGGAAGCTGCTTACTTCCATCTCCAGATGATCTCGTAAAACTCACTTTTCTTGTACCTAAGTATTTACTCAGATTCCAACCGATAAAGTCTGTTCCCATCGATTTGCAATAACATAATTAAAAGTTAATTTTGTCTCTTTAAACCATCATTGGTAATTTTCTATTTACTTGGAAGTATTTGCTGATTTAAAATGTTTTTCAGAAACAGAATTACTGTGTATAGCTTTGACTATCTGAAAACAAGAGTCTTTTTACTTAAACTTGAGGAAGACAATTTATAATTTTGATGAAAGTTAAAAGCAAACATCTGATATTTTGATAATCATAATTTACCAACTTTTTATACTCAAACTTTAAGAAGCAACATTGACACACAAACCTAGTGTAATTCCATATTTCCAGTGCTAACATGCCTCTACATTGTTACTTGAAATGTTCTCACTGCTGTGAAGTAAATCTTAATGAATTTTCATATTTTGTAAAATTTATCATCTGTGTCCACATTTTTGGCAGATTATAGACGGAGATATTATCTTTTTATTTACTATAGCTTCTAAAAAGATTTTGAGGAAAGAATAATAGGTATCATTTTAAAACTATTGATTATTAGCAGATGGTGGAATATACTATAGTTGAAAGCTACAAATTCCTTAGAAATTAAAGCAAATGAATAAAATTGACATAGCAAAAATAGATATTTTTTAATTAAATTTTCCCTTTGCTTTCTTATTCATATAAATGAATATTAAGTTTACGCATATATGTGATTCAAAAAGTTTTCTGTTGATTAAAATATTCGCATTAATTTAGAAATAGTACAAGAATACAGAATTTAAA